CAGAGGGCTGAGGCTTTGGGAAGGTCAAGTTAGTCTATAGCTACTTGTAGCGATAAAGAGCGTGCTCAGGAGCCAGAGCTTGATGCCTACGAGAGAAAGGATGGGTGCACATCATGAAAACCACGCCCCCCCCGCCCCCCCCCCTCCCATCTACAAAAAAACGAAATGGGTGTCAATGATGCGCGCGGTGGGGGCTCTGGAACGCGTCGACGACTTCATAAAGCCACTGTTTGTACGATGGCTCCTGCTTTTTGAGCCGCTTCCGGGCACTGTGCCACCCGGCCAGGGTCAGCGATGCTCATGATGCGCAGCCCTTTTTTGTGGGCTTTTGGCGTTTCCGGGCCCGGAGCCCCCAAGACTTGACTTACATAGCTTAGCTTGGGCACGTGCCACCACCAAAGCCTTACATGCAAATGTGGCCATTGAATTTCGTAGCTGGAACGAGCTGCTGGCTGTTGTGTCCTTCACAAGCCTCAACATCGGACTGACAGGTGCCCCAGCGTCGTCACTGCTGCAGATCCGCCAGCAGGCGCATTGCCCAAGGACTGAGATTCAGTTTCAGTTGACAAGCTGGGCCAGCCATGACTTTCAAGACAAGCTTCACACGCTAATCGAGAAACCTGTTAAAGCGACTTTGAACTGTTTTTGATTCTGAAAAGGTTTGTGCAGCACGGGTTTCAGAGCCTTAGTGCTTTAAGTGATCAGGCCATAGAGAATGCTGAGGTTTTGATCAGGTTTCGGTCGTTCCCTTGTCTAGCTCTGAAGACTCCAAAGTCCCGAGCCCTAGAACCCCGTGGTTCTCCACTGCCCCTAGAACCCGAGAGCCCCAAAAACCACTTCAAGGCGAGTGGGCATAGAGAAGATGCAAGAGGCAATGACACAGCGCAGTCTCAAGCATTGTAGCCAGCAGCGCGAGGAGCGCGAGGAGTGCGACTACTACCCGTCCACTTCCTGGCTTGGGTCCCAGCTGCAGAGTTCAGATGGACGTGAATGTTGCCGGTTGCCTAGCAGCTTACTGTCGCTACGAAGTCCTCATGCAGTGTACAGGCCTTGGCGTTACGGTAGAGCCTTTGAGACTTGTGATGAATTGTGTACCCAAAGGTTGCGAGAATGGCTGGAGAATGCAAAGACTTGGTCGTGGCCTCTGACTCTGTCACTAACCATGCCAGGATCCTGCGCGTGTCATCATGCAACGGTGGCATTTGGCACGGGCAGTTTGTTCGGAGCAGTCGCAACTTACGAAGGGCTCGCTGATGCTCATGACGTGCACCCCTTGTTTGGGCTTGTGGTAACTTGTGGTGTGCTCGCGGCGGGCCGAGAAGCCTACACACACGGTTGTCTATATGTTTAGTTGAATCGTTTTTAAACCCCGCTCCGCCCCAAGAACCAAGCATCGGCACCAATGAGCGTCGCACATGTGACAGACGCGATCTTTATGCTCTTATCGCCCCGGGCCTCGGTTCTGCAGCTTGGGCCGCCGGAAGCTCTTAACCGTAAACAGCCCTAAACCCTGAACGTACGTGAAACACCACGACAGGGCAGTTTGCTTCAGTCCTTCAGTCACCTTGTGTCCCGAATTGTTACCCTGCAGTGTGGTTAGACTGGTGGTTCGGACACGCCGTGGGTGTCAGGCTCTTTGATGCTCCTTATGCCAACAAGTATCCGACCCCCACCCCGAGGGCTCGTCGCTCTCAAGCACGCCCTTTTTTTTTGTGTTTCTTTGTCCGGCCCAGCGGCACGGGCCGACCCTGCCGACCCCGAAGCCGAAGCCATGAACTTTGGCAATCAAACAGCTTCGCCCTCATGTTGTCCTGTTGATGAAAGCCCGAGGCACCTAAACCGCCTAAACCTGAAAACTCATTGAGGGTTGCCGACTTCGGGAAGGTGCCGTCCGCAGAAAGAGCCTGATCCCAACGACAGTACCCCTTTCATTCAAACCGTTCAAAAAGCAACGGTCCGGGATCGCTGGGCACCTTTTCCTTTTTGTCTGCGCGGCGTGCGCCAGCTGCAGCCAGCCCTCGTAAACTACGTGCTTGAAACATGGAAGTCCGGGGTGCACAACACTGAAATGGTTCGGACTCCTCGGCTGTGGACGTGCGACGTGAGACGTCCAAAAATCCGCATGAGTCGCACAGTTTCACGGTTGTCAGGGGTGCAATGATTTTGGGGTGTAGGGGCTCAGCGGCTGAAGGTTTTTCGGGAAGTTTAGGTGTTTTGTTCAAGGGGATGGAGTTGAGAACTTTAGAGGTTTTGGGCTCAGAGGGCTGAGGCTTTGGGAAGGTCAAGTTAGTCTATAGCTACTTGTAGCGATAAAGAGCGTGCTCAGGAGCCAGAGCTTGATGCCTACGAGAGAAAGGATGGGTGCACATCATGAAAACCACGCCCCCCCCGCCCCCCCCCCTCCCATCTCAAAAAAACGAAATGGGTGTCAATGATGCGCGCGGTGGGGGCTCTGGAACGCGTCGACGACTTCATAAAGCCACTGTTTGTACGATGGCTCCTGCTTTTTGAGCCGCTTCCGGGCACTGTGCCACCCGGCCAGGGTCAGCGATGCTCATGATGCGCAGCCCTTTTTTGTGGGCTTTTGGCGTTTCCGGGCCCGGAGCCCCCAAGACTTGACTTACATAGCTTAGCTTGGGCACGTGCCACCACCAAAGCCTTACATGCAAATGTGGCCATTGAATTTCGTAGCTGGAACGAGCTGCTGGCTGTTGTGTCCTTCACAAGCCTCAACATCGGACTGACAGGTGCCCCAGCGTCGTCACTGCTGCAGATCCGCCAGCAGACGCATTGCCCAAGGACTGAGATTCAGTTTCAGTTGACAAGCTGGGCCAGCCATGACTTTCAAGACAAGCTTCACACGCTAATCGAGAAACCTGTTAAAGCGACTTTGAACTGTTTTTGATTCTGAAAAGGTTTGTGCAGCACGGGTTTCAGAGCCTTAGTGCTTTAAGTGATCAGGCCATAGAGAATGCTGAGGTTTTGATCAGGTTTCGGTCGTTCCCTTGTCTAGCTCTGAAGACTCCAAAGTCCCGAGCCCTAGAACCCCGTGGTTCTCCACTGCCCCTAGAACCCGAGAGCCCCAAAAACCACTTCAAGGCGAGTGGGCATAGAGAAGATGCAAGAGGCAATGACACAGCGCAGTCTCAAGCATTGTAGCCAGCAGCGCGAGGAGCGCGAGGAGTGCGACTACTACCCGTCCACTTCCTGGCTTGGGTCCCAGCTGCAGAGTTCAGATGGACGTGAATGTTGCCGGTTGCCTAGCAGCTTACTGTCGCTACGAAGTCCTCATGCAGTGTACAGGCCTTGGCGTTACGGTAGAGCCTTTGAGACTTGTGATGAATTGTGTACCCAAAGGTTGCGAGAATGGCTGGAGAATGCAAAGACTTGGTCGTGGCCTCTGACTCTGTCACTAACCATGCCAGGATCCTGCGCGTGTCATCATGCAACGGTGGCATTTGGCACGGGCAGTTTGTTCGGAGCAGTCGCAACTTACGAAGGGCTCGCTGATGCTCATGACGTGCACCCCTTGTTTGGGCTTGTGGTAACTTGTGGTGTGCTCGCGGCGGGCCGAGAAGCCTACACACACGGTTGTCTATATGTTTAGTTGAATCGTTTTTAAACCCCGCTCCGCCCCAAGAACCAAGCATCGGCACCAATGAGCGTCGCACATGTGACAGACGCGATCTTTATGCTCTTATCGCCCCGGGCCTCGGTTCTGCAGCTTGGGCCCGCCGGAAGCTCTTAACCGTAAACAGCCCTAAACCCTGAACGTACGTGAAACACCACGACAGGGCAGTTTGCTTCAGTCCTTCAGTCACCTTGTGTCCCGAATTGTTACCCTGCAGTGTGGTTAGACTGGTGGTTCGGACACGCCGTGGGTGTCAGGCTCTTTGATGCTCCTTATGCCAACAAGTATCCGACCCCCACCCCGAGGGCTCGTCGCTCTCAAGCACGCCCTTTTTTTTTGTGTTTCTTTGTCCGGCCCAGCGGCACGGGCCGACCCTGCCGACCCCGAAGCCGAAGCCATGAACTTTGGCAATCAAACAGCTTCGCCCTCATGTTGTCCTGTTGATGAAAGCCCGAGGCACCTAAACCGCCTAAACCTGAAAACTCATTGAGGGTTGCCGACTTCGGGAAGGTGCCGTCCGCAGAAAGAGCCTGATCCCAACGACAGTACCCCTTTCATTCAAACCGTTCAAAAAGCAAGGGTCCGGGATCGCTGGGCACCTTTTCCTTTTTGTCTGCGCGGCGTGCGCCAGCTGCAGCCAGCCCTCGCAAACTACGTGCTTGAAACATGGAAGTCCGGGGTGCACAACACTGAAATGGTTCGGACTCCTCGGCTGTGGACGTGCGACGTGAGATGTCCAAAAATCCGCATGAGTCGCACAGTTTCACGGTTGTCAGGGGTGCAATGATTTTGGGGTGTAGGGGCTCAGCGGCTGAAGGTTTTTCAGGAAGTTTAGGTGTTTTGTTCAAGGGGATGGAGTTGAGAACTTTAGAGGTTTTGGGCTCAGAGGGCTGAGGCTTTGGGAAGGTCAAGTTAGTCTATAGCTACTTGTAGCGATAAAGAGTGTGCTCAGGAGCCAGAGCTTGATGCCTACGAGAGAAAGGATGGGTGCACATCATGAAAACCACGCCCCCCCCGCCCCCCCCCCTCCCATCTAAAAAAAAACGAAATGGGTGTCAATGATGCGCGCGGTGGGGGCTCTGGAACGCGTCGACGACTTCATAAAGCCACTGTTTGTACGATGGCTCCTGCTTTTTGAGCCGCTTCCGGGCACTGTGCCACCCGGCCAGGGTCAGCGATGCTCATGATGCGCAGCCCTTTTTTGTGGGCTTTTGGCGTTTCCGGGTCCGGAGCCCCCAAGACTTGACTTACATAGCTTGGGCACGTGCCACCACCAAAGCCTTACATGCAAATGTGGCCATTGAATTTCGTAGCTGGAACGAGCTGCTGGCTGTTGTGTCCTTCACAAGCCTCAACATCGGACTGACAGGTGCCCCAGCGTCGTCACTGCTGCAGATCCGCCAGCAGACGCATTGTCCAAGGACTGAGATTCAGTTTCAGTTGACAAGCTGGGCCAGCCATGACTTTCAAGACAAGCTTCACACGCTAATCGAGAAACCTGTTAAAGCGACTTTGAACTGTTTTTGATTCTGAAAAGGTTTGTGCAGCACGGGTTTCAGAGCCTTAGTGCTTTAAGTGATCAGGCCATAGAGAATGCTGAGGTTTTGATCAGGTTTCGGTCGTTCCCTTGTCTAGCTCTGAAGACTCCAAAGTCCCGAGCCCTAGAACCCCGTGGTTCTCCACTGCCCCTAGAACCCGAGAGCCCCAAAAACCACTTCAAGGCGAGTGGGCATAGAGAAGATGCAAGAGGCAATGACACAGCGCAGTCTCAAGCATTGTAGCCAGCAGCGCGAGGAGCGCGAGGAGTGCGACTACTACCCGTCCACTTCCTGGCTTGGGTCCCAGCTGCAGAGTTCAGATGGACGTGAATGTTGCCGGTTGCCTAGCAGCTTACTGTCGCTACGAAGTCCTCATGCAGTGTACAGGCCTTGGCGTTACGGTAGAGCCTTTGAGACTTGTGATGAATTGTGTATCTGCGTGTGTCATCGTGCAACGGTGGCGTTTGGCACGGGTAGTTTGTTCGCCATTGAATTCCAGGCCAGATGCTCAACAGGATGCGCTGCCCTAAGAAAGCCAAGGTCACGAGTCACGAGCGCATCCCCACCGCCTTAATAAATGTAGGATGGGGGGGGGGGGGTACATAAATGCAGGAAAGCTTTTCTGCATTTTCCGGGTTTGCGTCAACTTCCACGTATGCAAGGGGGGGTCGGGCTGATTCTTGATCAAAAAGAGGTGAGGGGGTTCGGGATTCTACGTTTTTCTACGTGGTCGATTGAAACGCTGCGCCTGCTGAGGCTCACGGGGGGGGGGGGGGATAAAGGCGTACGAGGATTAGAATTTAGAAACTTAGAACACCAAACTTGCTGAAGCTCTGGGTGGGGCCTGGCTGCGCCCCTTAAGGCTCTTAATCGTCGCAGCCCTTCCTAAAGCTCGCAAGCCTCAGTCCGCGACAGTCCGCGAGTTAGTATTAAATGATGGCCGTATTACATGACCAAAAACAAAAACTCGGATTGAAGCCAAACCTCCCCCCCTGTCACCATCACCTAGAGCTTCAGCAAGCATGGTGTCAAATCACAGATAGCTTATTGGGGGGGTCCAGGGGTTTCAGCTTAAAGGCCTTAAGGGGGTATAGAGGCTTCAAAAAGACGAGGCCTTAAGGGTTTAGGGGCGTCTAAGACTTTACGGGTTAGGGGTTTCAGCTTAAAGGCCTTAAGGGGGTATAGGCTATAGGATAAGCAAAAAAAATGGTCCTGGTTGTCCAAGGTCGGCGCAGGTGGTTCATTATCCAGGATCATTTTTTTAAAGGCGATTCCATGAGTCTACAAGCAATGTTCCTGGCTTTGCAAGGACGGCTACAGGCGCGTGATTGTTTGGGACAATTTTTAGCCGTGAATTTGCCGCAGCCCTGGGTGTCACGGGCCCTTTGTATGAGACCCTCCCGGCGTTGGAAACCGGCGTTCCAGCCAAGGCCAGCTACACAATGCCGATTTACTCTGCCTGATCTATTGTTTTCCTCATTTTTAATACGCCCACCTCAACTAAGAGCCAGGAACTCAATTTAGAACCATGGAAAACTCCTAGGAATTTGGTTTTAAAGAGAAGTCTGCCCCATCCACACTCAAGCTTTGAGGGTGGAGCGGCGCGCCGCGAGTTGGTGTTAAATGGCCGTATTAAATGACAAAAAAAATGGATTGAAGCCCGACCGCCTCCCCTGTCACCACCCAGAGCTTCAGCAAGCATGGTGTCAAATTACAGATGGCTGAGAGGCCTTAAAAGGGGTTTAGGGGCTTCAAAACCCTTAAAGGTTTTGAGGTCTTTTTGTTTACTTCAAAAAGCTTAAAGGTCTTAAGGGGGGTTTAGGGGTCTCAGGTTAGAGGCCCCAAGGGGGTTTGGGGGCTTCAAGAAGCTTAGAGGTCTGAAAGGGTTTAGGGGTAGAAAGCTTAGAGGCCTTACGGGGGTTTAGGGGCTTCAAAAAGCTTAAAGTAAAGGTCTTTCAGCTTCAAGGCTTTAAGGGGTATAGGGGCTTCAAGCTTACAGTAGAGGTCTGAAAGGTGGACAGCTAAGCGGCCTTAAGGGGGTTTAGGGGGCTTCAAAAAGCTTAAAGGTCTTAAGGGGGTTTAGGGGTCTCAGCTTCAAGGCCTACCCGACCTACCCAGTCTCTTTCTTTATTTCTTTCTTTCTTTATTTCTTTCTTTCTTTCTCTCTCTCTCTCTCTCTTTCTCTCTCTCTCTCTCTCTTTCTCTTTCTCTTTCTCTTTCTGTTTCTCTTTCTCTTTCTCTTTCTCTTTCTCTTCTCTTTCTCTTTCTTTCTCTCTCTCTCTCTCTCTCTCTCTCTTTCCCGGTCTCTACGCTCCAGCTGTGTCACCGCCTCCCCCAAGCCTACAAAACCTATATTTTTCTTTCGGGTCGCCCCGCATCCGCCTTGGCCCAAGTTTCAACACATGAAATCCTACATTTTCTTGCTTGCCCCCGCGCCAAAATCCTACATTTTCATTTTCTGGGTTTCCGCAATGCGGAAAACGTAGATTACATTTTCTACCCCCCATACCTTAAGACAGCGGGTATATGAGCGCTTGCTTTTCAGCTTCAGCCCTTTGACTTGACTTGGGTCGACTTGACTTGGGTCCGTTTTATCGCTCCCAAAGAAGCAACCAGGTCCTCAGAGACACGGAAGGTTCGGTTTGCTGGTCCGTGTCTCGGCTAGCACAGATGGCTCAGCTCGTGCGTGTTGCAGGCTCAACTTCCACTCCACACACACTCGAGGCGCGGAACAAGATTTAGCTGGGCATAGGTGTCTCGCTGTCCCACGACTGCCAAATGCACTATCATGCTTGCGAAGATGTGCGAAGCAAAGCCAGCAGATACAAATTTGCAGGGAGATCTGGAAAGCGATTGCGACGGGGACGCCGCTGTCTTGATGGCCTTTCTTGTCCATGATCAGTTGCCGTTGCCAGGCATACGCTCCTCGCTGTGTATCCATGAGACTTTGCCGTCTCAAGGTCAGTTGGTGCAACGAGAAAGTGTTACAAGACAAGGCCCCGCAGAAGCAGCAATCTGCACAAAAGACAAGCTTAGGACGACACGCTTTTCCCGAATTCACGGTTGACAGAATTCGCAACTCCAGTTTCCCGATTCCGCGTTTCGTCACGTTTCCAGTTACCCCAGTCTTAGTGTTCGAGTTTGCCGAACACGTTCTCCCAGTTTCCGTGCCGTCCTTTCGTAAATTTCCGACTCCGCGACCGTCGTAACATTGTACAAGCGTTGCAGGACCCTTGTCCGATTGAGTGTGAGGTTCACAAGCTGCCGCAGTTCTGATACGGTGTTCGGGGCCGCTCTCAAAAGAGCCAGTCTTCTGTCACATGTATCTCGAATTAATGCGACACGCCTCTTTGGGCATGTGGGCGTGTGGATATGCGCTAGATACGATTGTCCGCAATATGGCAGGTGCAGCAGCAGAATGCCGAGCTCACAAGGCTTCATAGTGCTATGTAGAGCTTGCTCTCCTTGTCAGTTAAAGGCCTTCCGCATTCCTGCGAGAACGGCATGTTTCCGAGGAAACCCTTTCACCATTTTCTGCCTTTGCAAGTGCAGCCAGGCTGCGGCGCGAGATCGCCGTGCTGAGGCCTGGCGTCTCATGTCTATGGCCAGTGTACAACACCAACTCCCGGATCACGCGCCGGACTCTGTTGCTATGTCGCACTGTGGAGGTCGCACGGAGCGAATCCGCCTGATGTGCAGGTGTGCCCTCAACTGCTGCGCAGTTTATGCAAAGAAGTTGACTAAATTCATCTTCGCCCATTGCATCGTGCGTTGGAGAGGAGCTCTTGCAGCGCGCAAAGCTCTTCGTACAGGCAGAGTGTCATGACAGTCACTGCAGCGAGACAGGGGATTTGTTCGGCCTGGCAGCCCTCCATCGCATAAGAGGCCAAAGACTCTGCCAAAGACCTCCAGGAGCCGAAGGATTTGCAGGACAAGGCACGCATCCTCGCGGGATGTAGAGCCCCAGCGCAAGAATTGCATTTTGGCTTTCAGGGTTGCGCACTCTGACCGCGTTGTTTTTGGGCACCTAACATGCATGATGCTTCCGCTGTTGGGTTTGGGTTCATGTTTCAGGTTTAATCCCACTCCGTTCCTTGGAAAGCTCCGGGTTGATAAAGTGCTCGGGACTAGCGCCACCTCCACCCACAGGGCGGGAGCCGTTGGGGAGTCTGTTTGTTTCAGGAGGCAGACTGTCAGTGGTCGGTGTTCATGTCGGTGTTCATCGCATCCTTTTGCGACGCGTTCTAGTTTTGAAAGCGTTGCGCGGCTTCATGCTGGCATTAGATAGCCTGCTGACCCATATGGCAGGTGCAGCAGCAGAATGCCGAGCTCACAAGGCTTCATAGTGCTATGTAGAGCTTGCTCTCCTTGTCAGTTAAAGGCCTTCCGCATTCCTGCGAGAACGGCATGTTTCCGAGGAAACCCTTTCACCATTTTCTGCCTTTGCAAGTGCAGCCAGGCTGCGGCGCGAGATCGCCGTGCTGAGGCCTGGCGTCTCATGTCTATGGCCAGTGTACAACACCAACTCCCGGATCACGCGCCGGACTCTGTTGCTATGTCGCACTGTGGAGGTCGCACGGAGCGAATCCGCCTGATGTGCAGGTGTGCCCTCAACTGCTGCGCAGTTTATGCAAAGAAGTTGACTAAATTCATCTTCGCCCATTGCATCGTGCGTTGGAGAGGAGCTCTTGCAGCGCGCAAAGCTCTTCGTACAGGCAGCGTGTCATGACAGTCACTGCAGCGAGACAGGGGATTTGTTCGGCCTGGCAGCCCTCCATCGCATAAGAGGCCAAAGTCAAGGACGTGCCGAAGCATCTGCTGCCGCACTTCGCCACACTTGGACTGGCCGTGGCCTTGCATGCCGTCTGCAATTTGTATTTTCTTTCTTGTTGGAGCTGTGGAGAATCAAGGATCCGAATGCCACAGCGGACGCTGTCAGGCGTGACTAATCTAAGCACGCTTGCGCCACTGAGTTCCAGAGCATGCAGGAAGCGGTACAGATGGATGGCAATACAATGCCATCCGGACAAGTGCAGCCGGAAAGACGCCACCAAACAGCAAGGAGCCCGGGCGTGCTGTGGTCAGCTCCTCGTGGTCATTGTTGAGGCGGTCGTGAACGCTTGTTTGTTACTTGTATCTAGTTTGGGATCCTGACTGATGTTTTTTAAAAGGAAGCCAGCTGCTTACAAACATATCGTTTGAGTGACAATCTTGCTCAAGACTCGTACACTGGAAGCCTCCCTGGTCTGTCCGCGTGTATGTCTCGTGCAATGCCATCCCTACCCCTTCCCCCGTTGAATTCAACACAAAGGGGACCCAACATTTCAAAAGTCTTCCCAAAGACTACTTTACTAGCCGTGACGGGAGAACAATCAGGGGGGGGGGGGGGGGTAAAGACAGCTACTGGGAGAAACAGGCTTCGACGCAAGGACAAAAAAGCAACACCCTTAAGCAACCCAACTGCTTATGAGCAACGCCATGCCTGAATGGTGCTGTGCACTTGCTGTGTGTGCAAAAGCTAACACACAAGCGCCACAATTTTTCCTGATTTACCGATGTTGTACCTATATACCAAACCAAATGTGTGACACGCACACAAACAGGCGTCCAAGACGGTCCTTTCTGTTGTTCGATAAGCTGCTGCCAGTAAGGTTTCAGGATCTCGTCGTGGCGTACGAGGCAGTCGCGAAGCACTTGGCATAAAACAAGGGCCCGTTGCTTTGCACGCTTCTTGTATTCATGGCAGGCCGACGTTGCACGTGTACGTGAGAGAAATCCGCAGCAAGAGTTTCAAGACGAGGGTTTCGAACTTGCGCTACAGCCACCCAATCCGTGGCGTCGAGCATCTGAAAGCACCGAATGTAGGTTGAAGAGTCTTCAAAATGGAGGGTTCTTTTAATCATGGAACGATCTTTTGGGGATCCCCAAACCCTGCTAAGCAGCTCTAGGTGCCCCCTAAAGCAGATGGAGCGCCTTCTGGAGGAAGTCCGTGCCGAGCAGCAAAAGGTTGAACCCTGAGGATCCAGATTGCATTGGCAACCGACCTGTTGCCAAAGCCTGAGCCCTGAACCCGTAGCCCTAAACCCTAAAGAAAAACCTTCGAGGAGGCTTGCAGGGGTGGGCTGGTTGCCTAGGCTCGTTCCAGAAATTGCAGGAAGACAAGGACACCTAGACCAGCTGACGCATTTTGTTGCTGTTCTGTGGGGTCCATACAAAAGCAGACGCCACATTAGGCCGAAGGGTTCTTTACATAGATGTTCCACTCATGATTTGTTTCATTTTCGGGTCATCCTACTGTCTGTACAAATGCACCGTTGTCAAGCTGTGCCCAACCTATAGATTGACATCCAAGCGAGCCTGCCGCACCGAGATTCTTTGCCGGAGTGCGCAAGAAGCTGCGCTGCAAAGGGCCCGCCGATGCATGTCTTGAAAAGCCTCCACTGCTCGGGGTTGTGCTGTAAGCCTTGATCGGGAAAGTGGTGGAACCAGTCCGGCAGCAAGCCGTCCGTTGGTCATCCAACCCGTTATTCCAGTTGTTTCTGATTCGCGTGGTCTTGCTGCCAGGCACAAAGTTCCGGGATGGTCCAGGCACCCGCACGATCGGTGTTTCGAAGACGTCGACCCTGAAATCTCCATTCAGACAGGTTTCCGAAGCGGAGCTTCGGCGCTGGAAGGTGCGACGATGGGGGCTACCTTAACCAATGATTCCAGGGGCAAGGGTTTTCCAGTCCCCGCAGTTTTCCCAAGCTGTCCTTGCACGCTGTGTACTGGACTGCCCTTTTCGTCGACTGCGCAGGCAGTCAGCGAAGCTCAGGACAAGCGCGAAGCTCAGACGTTCGTTCTCCTCTGCAGTGCCATGTGCATGAACATGCGGGCGTGTAGGGACAGAAAAAGCTCACAAGCTGCAGCACTCAGGGAACTTGCTGAAGCAAAGGAATTGATCAAGGAGCTCATGAAGGCTACTCGAGTGAGGGTTAAGTCCGGAAAAGTACTCATGAGTCGGCCCGCGTGAGTCGAAAACCTTGTGTGCCTGAGTCGAGAACGCTGGCGCCCCCGAGTTGAGAACATCCGTGGACCCCCCCGGCCCCCGGCGAAAACGCCATGCAACCCCCGAGTCGAAAACGTCCGCGGACCCCCCGGAGAAAACGCGGGATATGAGTCGACACATTCCTCAACCTAAAACCCTTTGCCAACGTTGTGCGAGTCCGAGTGCAAGTGCCGAAGCCAACAAGAGCCATCTAAAGTATTCATAACCCAATTTTTTTGAACTGTCACTCTCCTCTTATCCAAAACCTATGAAAAATTCCAACCTACATGAAAACAAATCACAAAACATATACAGAATGGCACAGAAACAACAAAAACAACAAAGCAGCAAAAACCATCCAAAATCTACATACAACTTTTGGTTTTGAACTTTCACTCTCCTCTCATCCGAAACCTGTGAATAAAATCACCTGCATTGAAACATATAGCAAAACACCTTACTGCAAACCTGTAAAACCTAGATCCGAGAAGAGCAGCGGTTTTAGGGTTTAGGGTTTATAGGGTTTTGGGTTCAGGTTACCCCCTACACCCTAAACCTAAAACCCTTACCAGCAAAAACCATCTAAAATATCAATAACCCAATTTTTTGATCTGTCACTCTCCTCTCATCCAAAACCTATGAAAAGTTCCAACCTGCATGAACACATTCTGCAAAACATATACAGAATGGCACAGAAACAACAAAAACAACAAAGCAGCAACAGCCATCTAAAATATTCATACAACTTTTGGTTTTGAACTTTCACTCTCCTCTCATCCGAAACCTGTGAAAAATCCAACCTACATTCAAACATATAGCAAAACATAGACAGCATAACTCTAAACCCCCTAAACCCGAAGCACTAAAGCGTAAACCCTAAAGCCTAACTCTAAACCCTAAACCCTAAACGTTAACCCAACCAAAGCCGAGGTGCCCCCTCAGTCACCCAGAGCCCTAAATCCTTAACCCTAAACCCTAAACCCTATTTGGGGTTCAGGGTTTGTGCTCTGATGATCAAGAGCTATCCGCATCTCTCACGTAAGACTCATCTCTAACGTCAGACTAAGGCCCCCTAAACCCTCAACCTGATCTCTAAACCCTAAACCCTACACCCGGCTGTTTTCTGACTCGCGTGCCGGTTTTTTGACACACGGCCCCATGCGCCGCCCCCGTTTTCCGACTAGGCGCGTTTTCTGACTCGGCCTTCTGGGTTTTCTGACTCGGTCTTTGCTGTTTTCGACTTTCCCGACTTGCCGGTCCGATTCGTCGGGGTTACTTGGGGTGCCACGTGCACGCAAGTGGAAATTCGGAGGATCGTTGAGCGGCGCGGGAGGTCGGACGGGTGGTCGGGCGAGTGATTCAGCAGGGAGGGTAGAGTGCTCCTGCGAGATGGAGTGGGGTGCAGGTGGTTGGGGGGCCGGTGCAGCTGGGAGGGTGCTGCGTGGGTGGTCGGGTGGGTGGTCCAAAACAGGGGGTGGCCGCGAGATGCCGGCTGGATGAGAGGCTGGATGTTCGTCGATTTGTAGTGCAAGCTTCATGTCATTGGATGTTCATTAATTTGCAGTACAAGTCTAGTACTGGAATCGAGGTTGCCGTCAGGTGGCTGGATATTCATTGCTTTGCTTTATACAAGGGCTTAGCAGGAGAGTGGTCGCGAGATGGGGGTGGTGCATGCAGTGGCGCGACGGGGTACGGGGCCCTTCCTGCTGGGAGGGGGTGCGGCTCGGGTGGTCGGGCCGACGGTCTTGCAGACGTGGTTCGCACTTAGTAGGAGTTGAAAAGGATGCTGCCGATAATGGTTTACGAGGAGGACCGCCAGGCGGTCCTGCTCCAATGTTATATCTGTTATATGCATGTTGTTACAGTTTAATTAGCGTGGTTGCGAGAACGGTCGAGGCTCGTGCGGTCCCGTTGGGGCACAGTTTTGTAGTAGTTTTTTTTTGCGCCGCCGTGAGAAGGGTTCGGAAATAAAACTGAGTTCACGTCCAGTGCCCCGGAGGCTTTGGGCGCTGGCGTGGAGGCATAGAACGTGTCGGTTGCACTGTCAGCGTCTGCGCATATTCACTGTGTTAAAGTAGTGTCAGCGCCGGCTTTGCCAGGTTCCGGAAAGTCCTGCGCTCGAGAAGGCCCACTCCTCGATACAAACACATCATCAATCACGAAAGCTAGCCTCCGGGGCTGAGTTTCTTATCAACCGAAGGTTGCAACAAGGGGTATGGGGAAGGGCCTCCCTGCAGTGACCCTTTTTTGGGCATCAAAAGGTGGTGCTTCGGCTTGCCTTTGAATGGAGAAAGCCCCCAGTGATGCTCGTGATGCTCGCTCACTGGTTCCGGTTGGGCTCCAATGATGCGCATGATGCTCACTGATCGGTTCCGGTGCCCCAGTGCTGCACATGATGCTCGCTTACCGGCTCTGCTTGGAACCCAAGAATGTGTCAGGGGCTGTACTGCTTCATGTGCACGCTTAGGTCATGGCAAACGTGTCTTGCGCACACCGCTGCATGGCAGCTCAAGCCCACGTGCTTCCGACAGTCACAACGATATCACTCGTAACGGCGTCACAGGGGTATGATTTCGTTTTGTTGCGGGCATCAGCGTGTGTATGTTTTTGAGCTCGCACGGAACAGGGTGTTGAACTACAGGCATCCATGTGTGTCTGTGTGTGTTTGTGTGACGGCCATTGGCGTGGATATGTTGTAAGATCACACATACCAGGGACACACTCACACGTCACAGAGGGTACGGTTTGCTGCGGGCACACCAGCACAAACAGTGTCCTCGCGTCATACACTGCAGAAGTGTGTTAGTGCGCCCAAGAAGTGCATGTGAGAGCTGAAGAAGCGCCGCTTGCAGTGTCATGTCACGAGATCAGTGTAGCTCGAGGCCAAGCTTGTGAGAAATTCATTGCGACAGACTCGGCGACTGAATGTCGTGAGATCACACATCCCAGGGAGTATGATTTATTGCGGGCATCGGTGCGTGTATGTTGTGGGAGCACACATCACAGGGTGTGCGAAGTGTTGCGGATCTTGGCATATGAGTGTGGTCAGCTCACACATCGCGGAGGATACGGTTTGTTGCGGGCGTCGGCGTGTGTATGTGATTGAGAGTGGATACAGGAACGGACTGTGCATGTTGCATGTCAGTCTTGGTTACGGGTATCGGATGGTATCGGTATGTCTGTGTGTGTGTCTGTGTGTCTGTGTGTCTGTGTGTCTCTGTGTGTGTGTGTGTGTGTGTGTGTGTGTGTGTGTGTGGGTGTGCGTGTGCGTGTGCGTGTGCGTGTGCGTGTGCGTGTGCGTGTGCGTGTGCGTGTGCGTGTGCGTGTGCGTGTGCGTGTGCGTGTGCGTGTGCGTGTGCGTGTGCGTGTGCGTGTGCGTGTGCGTGTGCGTGTGCGTGTGCGTGGTCGTGTGCGTGGTCGTGTGTGTGGTCGTGTGCATGTGCGTGTGCGTGTGCGTGGGCGTGGGCGTGGGCGTGCGCGTGGGCGTGGGCGTGTGCGTGTGCGTGTGCGTGTTCGTGTGCGTGTGTGCGTGTGGGTGTGTGTGCGTGTGGGTGTGTGTGTGGGTGTGTGTGTGTGTGTGTGTGTGTGTGTGTGTGTGTGTGTGTGTGTGTGTGTGTGTGTGTGTGTGTGTGTGTGTGTGTGTTTGTGTGTGTGTGTGTGTTTTCGTATTGTAAGA